GCTTGAATGCATTCATCCCACTTATAAATCCGTCGATGACCAATCGGTACACATCTTGCTACCGCTGGCCTACGATTATCAGGTTGGTCAGCTTGATTACAACCACATTGGTTTTTTTTATATTAGGTTATCACATTATATCAGCTATTACATATTGCTACAAATTACAAAATACATTATATTCAACCTCTGCATACTTCATATCCAATAACCGTCAAGATTTTTTATGTCTGAGTAACTTACAGAATTCACTCTTTCTTACAGCTCAGTTATCATTTTATTTTAGTTCATTTTATTTTATTTCATAGCCCAAATACCACTTCTTTTTCGAATAAAAAATACTTAGACGTTGCTTTCTCGAATTAGGCGCACGAATAAATAAACCCCAGTAACCAACCGAACTGATCATTTCAAGGTTAAACGTATCGCGGCGATAATCTCAGCCTATATTCAACATTTCTCAGAATTCTCAGATTTCTATGCCCGAATAAATTTGCATTGACTGTTTTCTTCAAAGTTCCCTTGTTTACCGTATGCTTGTTCCTATCGCTGGCTAAATTAGGTCTTAATTACCAATCGTACGACCTCGCTTTATTAGCCTTTTATGTAACTCGAGCTTGGCTGTCAGCTTATGAAGTTCGCTAACGGCCGTCAGGTTGAAGCATTCGCTTCGAAAGAATAGCTGATGAATTGAGTGAAGGCCCGCTAGCAATAAAAAGGACAGTATCTAAAATGCGATCATAAAAGGCTGCCCTTCGTGTTTAGAGCCATTCATGTGAGACCTTCAAGGGGAGGTGGTTAGGAGGGAAAGTGATNTCGAACATAAGCCCCTTAATCATCCAAGTAAGAGGTCTTCATCAGAAAAAATAGTGCCAACAAAACAAGCACTGTTAAATGGCATATCGCTCCCATGTATTGGGCCTTTAAAGGCACTGTTCGCGATGATTCAATGGGCGGGTGTGTCGATGACATGTCCGCCCATTGAATCATCGCGAACAGTGCCTTTAATATAGTAATTACCGCCTTAACCACTAAATCCTGCTTTTAAGTTCTTCCCTGAAAACCATACGCAGTGCCTTTCGAGGCTCTACAAGTAATGAGAGCAGAACTTTGGTTGCTCTAACACTTAGCAGCCTTTGATTAGACGGGAAACTTGAATAGTCTGAGGGGGAATCGGTTTGGAATTCAATCCTCTGACCATACTACTCTACCTTCCTTCGGTACATCCAGAGAGTCGGTGTTGCACATTTACCGAAAAAAAAATCGAATGAACTGCGCATTTTGATTAATTTGATAGCCTATTTGATGTGAAAGTAATAGAAATTTTTCAATTGACACTTTTTTCAGATGGATGGCCTTCTTCACCGATGCGAGTGCTTCCTTGTAAATCACAACCTACCCTTTCTAGAAAAAGTATGGATAGCTGATAGGTAAGTCAGCACTGAGATTCCACTCATTCGGTTTTCTATATTTTAGCCGATTATTCCTGCTTGGATGGGGTTTTTTATACTTTAGGTACAAATTGAATCGATTATTGATTCTATGTCTTCGGGAAATGCGACCGAATAGTAAAATTGATCTGACCGGATCTCGATATTATGCTTTAAGCGATAGGGTCAAAGTGCTTCTACTGGAACGGCTACACGGTGCTCCTGCTCCTGAGGTTAATTTTNGGCTGATCATCTTCTTAACCAGGATGTTTAGGAAATAGCTGAGCCTCCTCTGGATTTGGAGATGTTCCAACGGCAATCGGATCTGTTTTTCTCAGCGATACGGGCGAAGACAGGACGGGTGTATCATGTAAATCCGTATTACATGGCCGCATGGTCGAATGTTTTTCAGGTGACTAGCTTGCCCCGTTTATCTGTAGAGTGAGCTTTTTTATAATAATATACGAGACGTTCGATTCTATCGTCGATGAAACTAGGTTGCACATGTCGCGTTGCGTGGCGATGCTATTCGCCAGTCCCGAAGCCAAGCTGCAGTTGCTCTGCGGCGGCTACGTATCATTCCAGTGGGAATCCGAAAAACTCCCTTCACAGGGCGCAAAATAGCGAGATTCAGCGAGCGCAACAGTTTTTCGAGGAGAAGTTCACACATCCTACATGTGGATACACTCAACATTTCCTGACGATTTCTTTTTGTTTCTCATAACGCCATCCAATTTGTAGCTAAATATCCGCGCGCGAGAGTGTGCGAGAGTGTATTTCAAATCTGAGGGTTTTCTTTCCAATGGCATTGTTACGCAAACTCTGGATCGCGAGGTGGTGCCCCGTTTGGTTCGCCGCGCGTCACTTGGACGGCGTGGCCTGACACCGTAGAATCGCGCGCCCAATTTATGGCAGTGTCTTCAAGATGCACGTTTTCCAGGAGCGCGTTTATTGTTCTTCATCGAGTGTCGAGGAGATTTTCTGCCCATGTTCTCATGAAGAACTCAAAGCATTCCTTATGGCCATTCATCCACCTCAACTTCGTCTGAACGGTAACTGGCGATAAGCTTCTTCTGCGTAACCAGTTATTCTTATTATTTAACCGCGTACTAATACTTTTCAGTGAATTGTAATAATTCTTATATTTATACTTATTTATTTTTATTCATATTTATGCAGCATATTTTTGATATTTTTATTGGTTTAAGCTATTAAATTTAACTTTGGTTTTGGTTTTAGTAATAATAGTATAATTTGAAATGCATAGATAATAGAAAATTGCAACAGTATGACCAAACGTTTTACTTTACTTGTACTGTACACTATTATTGATGTTTTTGTGATAGTTGTTGATTTGTAAATGCTGTTTCTCAATTGCTTACAATGTAGAGCAGAACATTGGTCCAGTGCTGATGGCAGCGTGTAAAA